GGAAATGTCTAAAAAACATTCAATCCTATTTTGTGCGGTGCATTGCTGTTTTTGGAGATTTCATGAAATTTTAAAATTCTGTCATAAAGTTTGCAACTGGCACGTAAATTTATCAAAAAGTTAACCACTGGCAATCACAAACTTCATATGGATATGACAACCGTTTGGATATGACATTTCGTGACATCCTGTATATACAGGCAAAATTAAATGTGACAAATTTTGAAATATAAAAACTAATCTTGAAATAAACTAATCCAGAATTGCAAGCATATGAATGAGATTGTGGCATTTATATATTATTGTTTTTGGTCAATAAAGCTTGCACAGACTGTGTTTAACATATTAAAAATGACAGTCATAGCTCTTTTGAGGATAATAATTATTTGTTTAAGCGACTGCCCAATATCTACAATTTCACAATTTACTCAAATATGAATCAACATCAAACACAGGTTTTTTAATTCACTGATGGACTTAGACACTCAGATTTCACAGGAAAGCTCAAAGAACTTAGTTGCCAGTGCCATAGTATATATCAGCAATTGCCAAAGCCATACAAATTCAGATTAAAGTTCAGACACGCAGAACTTTTCCCAAATATAACCAAGTTTTTTTTTTTTTTTTTCCTCCATAAAGAACATTTAGAGAAAAGAATGTCATGTGCCATAGCTAATATTTGGAAGAATCCATTCCTCACATCACACAATTGCTCTGCCACTCTCATTCCATCTTCCTAAGAAGACAGAACCCTTTTAAATATAGTATGCTGGTATTGTATTCTTTGAGAAGGATAAGTTTAGAAAATCAAATGATTCTGGATTTTTGTTCCAACAACTGAGGAACTAATTGGGCTTTCTTTCATGCTCACAAGTTATGGCTTGTTTGAAAAATAGTAACCAATCAAGGGGCATGCACTTTAACTTCTTATAATATAGAAATGCCACATAACATAGCACAGTGATAGTCTTCCATAATCTTACTCTTCATTCTATCATATGCCTACTGATGCACTGTTAGATTAAGTGATTAAAATATTAAATGATGTCAAGATAAAAGAAAAATTATTTTAAGATGTTAGTTTTCACCATATTCCTAATTCCCCCCCTCACATTAAAATATAATGTTTCACCACACAAAATAATAAATTTGAGACTTTAAAAAAATCTAAAGTGAAATCCTGAATTTTGAGTGCCAGTATATGTTTTATACCAGTGTCCCTCTTAGATATTTTTTCCCAAGTAGCTGCCAATTGCTAACTTTTGATTGTTCATCTATTTTTGCATACTTTTGATTGTTCATCTATTTTTGCATACTTTTGATGTGCATCTATAGAGATGGGTGCTTGAATATACTTATATAAGTCTGGAGTAAAAAAACTTTTAAAATTTTAAAAATAAAATTGATTATTTTTTCATTTTGATGATGCCACCCAGATGAAAAAACTTATGTAAAATATGGGTAAAAAGCTTTTGAAAGTGATTTGAATTCTATATTATTATTTTATGAAAAAATTTAGCAAATATAATACTGCATATGTACACTGTATCATGCTGTAACTCAGCTAGTATAAGGTTACAAAAAGATGTAACTCTGGTAAAAAATAAAAATTGAAACACTATAACTAAGCTGAAAAATTATGTTGCATTTTTAAGGCTATTATATTTCATGCTTTAGATAATGTATAAAAAGAGCATGCTTCATGCTATGATAGCAAAAATCACCCCCACACACTTTTGATTATCGTGCCCCGTAAGGGTTCCTTTTTAAATTTTTTTGTAAATATAGGTTGTAATATATCATTTTGTTGAGGAAGAAAACCTGTTAAATGCTTTTATTATTTGATACACCTCAAATCCCTTATATCGATAAAAACTAAAATATTTGCCTGCCTTTTTGTTTCCTTCTAAATATAAACATTTTCATCTAATATTTGCCTTAGAAATATTTTGCCTCCTTTCACCAGCTGTGAAGACTTATTTCAAAAACCATGTACTTGTATCCTAAACCACGGGAAAAATTTCTCTTCTGTTCCCCACTTTCTCATAGGAAATTAACAAAGACGATAACCCTATGTCATAGAGACGGACTTAAGTGCATTTCTGTTTCCCGTGTTTGTAAGCGAGCTTTCCTTTTAGGTGATCTTATGACAGTATCTTTTTGGAGATCCTGTGACCCCCACATGACAAATTAATTGTCAATCACCTCTTATCATTTTCACTACATTCTAGGATTTTGGAAAACATGAAGTGATGGGTGTCTTTTGGGGCTAACATGCCACATTACAATTGTGTGGCATTTAGAAGCTAGACAACAATTTTGAAACTGAAGAGTCTATCTGGGCAAAGAGTGAAGTGGTGAAATTAAAATTTTAGCTAGACTGAGACGAATGAGACCACAGGGTCAGTAAACTCCCCATCTTCCATGAATATGATACTGAATCATAAACAAATTAGTAAATCATAAATAATTATAATATAAATAAATTCTGCCATCTCAGAGACTAGAAGATAAGCCTGGTGATGCCATCTATTGGCGTGGTACTCTCAGTATGGGTGATGGTATATTTTATATATCAGTCTTAAAAATGCCACACAACATAGCACACTTAAAAAACTCCTATAACCTTATTCTTCATTCTATCATATGCCTATTGATGCACTGTTAGTTTAAGTGATTAAAATATTAAATAATGACAAGATTAAAGAAAAGTTACTTTCAGATGTAAGTTTTTCACCATTTTCCTAATTCCCCTACATTAAAATCATGGTGGTAAGAAAGGAAGGAGTGGCCAATCTGGCATTAGAAGTAAAGCATTGCTCCGAAGTTTCGGTCACCAGATGGGGTGTTTTTTGTTTACATTCAGAAGCTCGCTTGACAGCGCTCTGATAGTATTTCGACCCACGACAGTTCCATACAAATCCAAAAATGGGACACTTCTGCATAAAAGAAAAATTCCTGTGTGATGGATAATAGCAATTTGTATAGTTTAGTGACATTTATGCCTAAATCACATCTTGGTTATTTTTTGATAACTAACAACAGCGATTTTGATTATGAATTAGTTTTATAAAATTCTAAGCTGTTGAACTACAAAAATATAGATTTTAGCAAAAACGTTATGCTTAAAGAATGAAAAATACCTCACCATACCTTTAAAATTGTATATATCTTTCGATACCCTTGATAGAGTATTCGCTACTTTTATTTTATGTTTCAAACGTCAAAATGTTTTAAATAAAATATTTTTTTTTTACATCCACATATCATTGTAACATGTACTTTTTTTAAATTAGTGTAAATTACTTTACTCGAAAAACATAGTGAATGCACAGAAATTAAAGATTTCCACATGCCGGAACTGAAAAATGGTATTTATGCATGTGCTTCTTGCAAAAAACACATGCATAAATAAGCATTTAACAAAATACATAAATATTTATTAAATTATTTATAAATGTATTTGAAATGAAGGATTTATTCATTCATAAACAACTGTGAAAGTTACTGTGAAAAAAATCTAATTAATAAATGTATCTAAATTTATAATGATTATAAATATTATCTAAATATATAATAATCTTAACATTGAACTGTAAACATAAATTAACATCCTGTTGACAAATACTTCATAAAACTAGTTAAGCAAGAATTGTTCGTACTGGAAAGCAATCTGCTAAGAGGTATTGTAAAGTTATTTCTATGAGATGTGTACTTAAAAAAGTAATAAAGAAGAGTTTTAGAATATGTATTGTTGAAATTAAGGGTAAAAAAATCTGATAAGCATAATTAAAAGAATTATTCTCCTTACATTTTATAATAATTCAGTTACAAGTTTTAAATAATATTTAAAAAATAATCCTTATTTCATTCTCTTTCAGAAATATTCAGAGAAAGTTAAGTACTACTTAAAGTATTTCGCTATTAAATGAAAAGGTGCTCTAATTTGAAATGGACCGAGTAGAGCATTAATTATAAATCGACTTAGAGTTTTCGATTTAAAAGATGCCTCAGAAGCTAAAAAAATCATGTCATATATGAGAAAGTATTTTAGGAAAAAGCTCTATAAATAGGAAAAAAATAATGCATCATTTTAATAATACAATAAACTTTGATCTTAATTTTTGTAATCCTTAACCGAATCAAATTGAATTACCTTAATTTTTTTTCTAATGTAACAAACGAAAACTTGTGAAAATATTTCAAATTAAACAATTCTGAGCAAAATATTCTGTGAAAAGTATAGCATTTAATTCCATTCAGTATGAAATGTTGTTTAAAACTGTTTTCTTTTCATATACTTAAGACTCTGAAGTATTGTAGAAAAAGAAAATATATACATTTATATGCATATTTACGACATAATTACAAAATATTTACATTCGATCGTGTCAAAACCCATTGAACTCAATGGTAAATTACCCAATGTTTTGGTCACCAAAGAAGGGATCACCAGTGCTTCAAAGCAGGGTATGGAAACTGGTTTAGGGCCACTCCATCTAACTTCCTACCTCCATGATTAAAATATAATGTTTTACCTCCCAAGATAATAAATCACATTACTTACCATAACAGTTTTTTAATTGTCTTCATTTTTTTCAGCTAATATGATCTCGTATCATGAATCATAAAATCACATGGAAATGGTGACAGAAAAGAATCCAGTTTTGATTCCTCTATGACCACTTCAGAAAGAACAATGCATGTGTGCATGCACAGAAAATAAATAACAAAGCCAATTTTAAAAAGTGGATTTTGTGATTGTGGCATCTGAACTGCATATGATGTGGTTACACAGGATTAGAAAATAAGGAATTATTTCACTGAAAACCTAAGCAAGCAAATAAACAGCAGCATTTAAAAGTGATAATAAGGAAAAGTAATCGATAGTATACAAAAGCATAATGCCAAAAAACAGTTCTTATTAATGCAGACAAAGATTTCATACATACATTTCTAATAAATAGAAAATTCATCAGTTAAAGAAGAAATATAAAAACAAGTTCAGAAATGCAATTTTTATTTTAAAACTTTATCAATTTACATAGCAGAACTTACAGGGAATTTGTAAATATATTATAAATATATATTAATAATATGCTATAGAATACATTAATAAATATATCACAAAGAAATTTTAAAACATGATAAAAATGAATATTTCATTCTTAACGAATGCCAGTCACGTTTCTCTTGCTCAGTGAACTCTGTATTTCTTTCAGGGTATATTCCTAAAATAAATAAATAAAATAAAGAAAGAAAGAAAGAGTTTTCCCCTCTCTAAGAAACATACATATATTCTCTGAAAAAGAAAAAGCAAGCAGAAGCTTCTAATTTAAAGTACTTACAGTTTCCTAACAGCGTGAACAAATGACAATGAGTATCATATATGCTATAATAATTTTTGCAACATAAATTACGTCAAATATGTTGCATAAAAAATTGTAGCATATTACTCAATAAATACAAATTTGATTTCAGCCAGTAAAGAAGACAATCACAGTTTTTATCATAATTAAACCTGAATAAAGTATCTAGTACCTTTCTCCTTATTTTGGAAGCAGTTCAATTATTTAGTCATTGCTTAATAACCAACATTACCAAGAAAGGTGGGGTCATAACACAAAGTACATCATCAAAATTTTAGAAAACATCCAGAAAAGTGACAAATCTGAGAGGCTATCATTGTCGACTTAAAGAATGAAAGGAAACATTTTTATCGCCCGTTAAAAGAGAACAGAAAGATTCAGTTTTCTGATTATTTTAATATCAATATTTCTCACTATGGCAGTCAGTGATATAAGTTTCCTCCAAAAACATTTAAAAATAAAGAAAGTGTTCAGGATTAAAAAAAAAAAAAAGACTTTTTTAAAACATTAATTCAAACACTTTGGGACTGGAAAGAAATGACAATAAAATATATATTTTGAGAAATATATTTCTCAAAAATTCAAATCTCTTGAAAAAGCTACAAAGATACAAGATTATGCTCTCTGTCCCCATTCCCCCCAAAATAGGATACAAATAATAAATGATCAAGCTGTTATGTATTTAGAGATCAGATCAGTATGCTTTTCTGAATTTCTTTTCTGTAAGTCTGCTAGATTTCATTCAGCAGCTTTACTCACTGCATGCGCGAATATTACTAATTTGTAAAATTTGTTTCACCAAACTTACATACTGGAAATTATATAAGTACTCTAAATTTATAGCATTCAGCATGAAGTGTAGGCCATAATCAAAGGGAAGATATGTTTCCACAAAAGTCAAATTCAAGAAGTTAATCATCCAAGCAAAATTAAATATTATTTTTTCTAAATTATTTAATTCATTAATAAGGTATGCAAAAATTTTTGGTAAAATTTTATTAATCAGTTAATTGCAGTTATTTTACTATTTTAAATTGAAAAATGTGTTAAGTCCTGTTTCTAATAAATATTGGTTACATTTTTAAAAATTTTCTTAGCAGGTTCTTAAATTTTTATGTTTTTTTTTACTTGCCTTTGGTAGAATCAGAGATAGGAATAAATACTGAATGTAAGAACAACACTGACTGACATAGATTTGATTTTATCAGAAGCACTTCCAGCAGTTCGAAACAATTGTCTTCTTCAGCTGAAACTACACAATCTCACTGAAGAAATTTTTAGAAATTATTGGTAGTTAACCTCAGAACCCTATTTAATGAAGACAAAAACGGCATGATATAAATGAAAAGAAGAAATAATTTGCTTATCGATGAGTGAGGAAAACAAGTTAGAATTTCAGTCATAACTTTTATGCAGAGAAATTATGGACATGGAAAGCATGATGGGAATCTTAATTCACAAACTAAGTAATTTTTTTGGATGATTTTTAGAAGGAAAATGGTGTTTCAGATTATTGATGAAACAGTTAAATAAATTTTTCAGTTTTTAAGAAGGGAAAAATATGCTTCTGCTCTAAGAAATCACTTAGTTATTATTCCTTTCTTTCTCAGTGTCATTTACAAAACTGTGCATGTTTTATAGAAATTCAATCTTTGCAGCATGAATCTTACATTCAGCCTTTAAAAAGGATATATCTTCTACCGCTCAGTTCTATCATTTAATGCTGCTTATTGTCACTTATGCACCAATGCAGAATTTAGTGCTCATTTCTGGCTGCCAATTTCCATTAACAGCTATGATCCTCTGCTCCGGTTATTGAAAGCATTCTGCACTTGTTTCATATTTAATCATCAATGGGCAAGAGCATCACCACCTAAAGGTTATAATTGCAACTGTTATATGCCTGATTAGCCCATCACAGTCAACGATTGTTGAGCTGTTAACCACAAATTCAATTTTGCATCTATCAAAATCATCCAAACAATTTATTTAGTTCACGAATTTTATTTTCTTGATGCTTTTTATGACTAGAATAACCTCTCTACATTAGTCAATGACTTATATTCTAATTTGTTTTTCATACCCATCACTCTCTCTCTCTCTCTATGTATATATATATACACAGCATTTAAAAGTGATAATAAGGAAAAGTAATCGATAGTATACAAAAGCATAATGCCCTAATCCGGACTCGTCGGGACTTCGGCAATTCCGGATTAAGGGTTTTTCCGGATTATAGATCATCAATTTAAATCTGGTAAGATGGCATGCAGAAATTATACAATTAAAAATATGAAACTGTAATTTATGAAATAAGGAGCAAGTATGATCTAAAGGGTATCAAAATTTACAAAAAAAAGCTTAATAGTTATTTGTTTACTTTATTAAACATTTCTTTCAATGTAAGTTGTTTAATTTGCTTTGTTTTTTGTGTTAAACATGCATACGTAAACATTAAACGTGCATGCATAACATTAAACATTAAACGTGCATGCATAACATAAACATTACACGTGCATGCATAACTATTATTACTATCATTTAAAAAAGCACTTTTTTAATAATAAAAATGTTTTTGAAGTCATCACCTGTTTAGAAGAAGAATAATTTAGCCCTAAACTGCCGCGGAAAACGTACAAGATTCATTTCCCAGTGCCCCTGTTCTTCCCACATGCGCGCGTAGTTATGCAATTTATTAGGGGCAAAATAAGTGCAAGTTTTACTTTCTGAAAACGGTTTACTTGCACAAAATAATAAATAAAAAAAATGAATGCACAAAATTTAATGTTTTGAGTAAAAGTATATAAAAGGATATAAGTATTAAAAGTAATAAAAATGATGTTTTTATAATAAAAAAAGATTCCTAAAATGGAGTTTCAATCAATTAATTTTAGACCATAAAGTGTAATATCAGGTTTCAGTGTTATATCTTGTGAAATCAGTATGCCTAAAAAACCACATATTTCTTCTGAACTGGTTGAATGCCACGACTTTGTTCTTGATTTTTCGTTTGCAAGGTGTTAGTTCATATACTCGTCTACAAAACGGTTAGTTTCAGTAACAATATGAAGCCCGAGCAGTTCATCAAAAAATAATTCAAAAAAGATAAAATGGGTTTGAAACATCCGTTATATCTTTCTTTACCCTGGAACCTATTACAAAAAATAAACGATAATGGAGGACACAGAAAAAAAAAGAAAAAAGAAAGAAAAGGGGAAAAAAATTACGTTTTACTCAAACAACCCAAGCCAATACCGTGCAATCATTACTTTCACGGGAAACAACCCCCACTCCAATTCCCCCCTCTTTGAAATAGTATCCTCCTTCGCATACTTTGTCAAGGTCATTGTGGTGTTGCATTCCTTTGCTTTGCGAATAATTTTACGGGTGGCAGCACAAAGCAAACGATAGTATTTTGGAAGGGCGTATATATACGCCCATGGCAGTTAATGCATCAGCTGAGCAAGGCATATATATATGCCCGTGGCAGTTAAGGGGTTAATAAAAATTAGTTTAAAACAGGAGACAATATATTTATTTCAAAATAAGAGCCACAAAGAACTATGCTGTTTATTGACTGGTATCCAAATGGCAACCCAGTTCTCTAAAAAAAGGTAAAAGTGTTAATTTCCAAGCAAATTTCAGGCATTTGATGTGATATTTTCTGAATTGCGCCATTAATAGGATGTCTAAGACTAGCTTACATCAATAATTCTTCTACCAAGTACCTGTCAAGATACCATATGCATTAGAATAATAAACTACTACTTTTATACAGTACAAAGTTCGCCTAGCATCCCAAATGATTTAAAATCTGAACCTCCAGACAGACCACCAGAAGCCTTTCTTTTTAGAATTTTTTTGTGTCCTCTATGCATGCACATTTGACAATTTCTCATAATAATAGAAAAAAAGGGTCCCGGATTTTAATTTCACTTCGCCATTAAATAAAATACCTCCTCACCGAAGAAAAACTCATTCAATAGCATAAATCTGTTTGATTAATAATTTGGCTATGTAGCCACCTTTTTGCTTGGCATACATCTCAAACTGAAAGATTCCACATAGAAACATTCTTGATTTTACACCTACAGAATAATTTGTATCCCTGATGCCAAATCATTATTTATTAATTTTTCCTTTCCTAACTTATGACTATAAATACGGCAGCTTGAGAAATAACATGCAGCTATGTCCAAGCACTGTTTTTATATTAAAGAGTACTAACTAAATAGCAAAGAACCTTGTAACTTTTTATGTTGGGAAAATTTAAAAGTAATTACTTTTCATATGCAAAACATATGTCTTATAAACGATACTCATAGGGTGAAAGATTAAATTTAGTGATGTTTGAATCGAGAATGATTGATGTTTTATTCAAATAAGCCCAGGAATGAAGCTAGAGCTGGTGAGATGGCACCAGGCAGCAGGGTTTAAGGAAGGCAAAATTTTTAGAAGCACCAAGCAACAAATGCAAAAATCTTTAGAACTAAGGGAAAGCAATGGAATGCAAAATTTTGGGCTGGCAAAATTTTTAGAACATAAGGAGGCACTTGGCAGCAGAATTTAAGGCAAGCAGAGACAGGCCACGAAATGTCTAGCATCAGCTCTGAAAAAGACTTTACTTATTATGGAATCATGATGGAAGCATGTCAGCATATGTGAGAAACAGGAATAAGTACAATAAATAACTAAACTAATAACTCAGCTCACGATAGATGCAAGATGAAAGTGAATGGAACATGTCATTATCACAAACAGTGACATTTTCTAGCTAATGGAATGCCTGAAGAAATGTGGAGAAGTGGTAGTAAATGAACATGATATAAAAGAAGTCTTTTATAGCGATTACAATGCCCCAAACATGTAGCCAATGATAAAGAAAGGTTATTGAGAAGAAAAAAAAGTTTAACAACATTTTAGTGGACATTTTTGACATGGTGAAGACTTGAGGAATGTAACTTTGTAACTGAATAAGAAATTATGTTTACCGATGGAATTAAAAAGAAAGTATTGGCACAAAAAATGAAGCAACTTAAACATTGATAGAAACTTTTAATAAAGCAAATAAATAAAAACTGAGTTTTATTTTTGTAAATTTTGATTCCCTTAATGTCATAAAATGCTTTATTGTTTCATTAAAAACTATTTAATACTATTATTTTTTCGCTGAAGTCTCTACAAGTCTGTTCTTGGACTTTGTACTCCAAATATATACATATATACACATATGGATCTAAAATATATATCATGTACAATATGGCATTTTAATAACATATTTTATGTCACAAAATTACACAATATGGAGACACACTGCAGTTATTACTGAATTTTTTAAAATTTTACCTTTAATAATAAATTGCCTTTTACCAATATTTTATTGTTCCAATTACTGCATAAAATGATTGGAGTTTTAAATTTCAGCATATTCCTCCAGCAGTACAAAAATGTAAAGAAAGATTCACTTTTTAAATACATCAAAATTTTAGGCCTTTTAATCTGCTTTGTGACATAATTTTTTGACAGTTTCTTTCTTTTTATAGATAAGCAACTTTTAAATTTTATTAAGTGAAATGATAAGATTTTCATTAAAACAGCTGCTTCATCATGTAAGAAAATTAAAATCTTGAATCAGTCTCACTTGCCAGAAGAGATTGGTTTTTCATATACTTGCTAAAGTACTCAGCTACTAAGTAAAAGGTCAGCAGTTTAACACTCGTGAATGGGAACAATGACTTAATAATTATTATTGTGATCGTCAGGAGGTATGATGACAGAAGTGAGCAAAACAAACAAATTTGAATGAAATATGTCTCAGAAACTGAGGTAAGAAAAGAAATACAGAAAATTGATAATCAGTTTAATGTAACCTTAAGACATAAAAGCAACATGCACATATTTTTCTTGACATATACAAACCACAGATGGCTTACAGTAAATAAGATTACAAGAAGAAAAATATGTATGCATATCAGCCTGAGTAGACTTCTGATAAATACCTATGGATAAAAATGTGTGCAAAGTGCAAACTGTTATTAATGATCATGAGAATAAATATGTAGCCCGTCATACTGGGCTTTAATCAAGGCAAACTGTTATTAATGATCAAGAGAATAAATATGTAGCCCGTCATATTGGGCTTTAATCAAGGTTTCCCACCACTGCAAATATCGTCTGCACAAACAGTTCATGTTGGCATGTTTAATTATATTTTGTTAAACAAATTTTGACATTTGAAAGCAAGAGACTTGTTTAAGAACACTGTGTTACGAGATTTGTAAAACAATATCATTTACCATCAAGTACAAAGTGTCTGAAAAGGAGCTGTCACACTACCAGGTTAAAAAATCCTTTACTTCCAGTTCTGTCACAAAAAGTCAGCTACAGGATGTCACCAAATCATGTCTACAGCTTTAGGTACTAATGTTGTATCATGTAACACTGTGAAAGTTTGGTACTAAAAGTTCAAAAACAAGGACTGTTTCAAGATATTGAAGAAGCAGTGCTCTGGGTGGTCTATTGATGTTAATGAGGTCCTCCTGTAAGAACTTGTGGAAGAAGATCACTATGTAACCACTCGAGAGCCTGCTAAGGAAATAGAACGTTAATGCTACGCCCATTAGTCACACTGTGCATCGCATAAACTTGATGTACAACTTTGATCACTGGGTGTCGCAAGAGCGAACTCAAGCAAATAAGGACAGACATGTTTGGGCCTGCACTAATCTGCTTGAATATCAATACAAGGACAAAATTCTGTACTGGATCACCACTTGTGCTAAAAATTGGATTTACTTCAACAACACAGGCTGAAAAGGGGGTTGGTCTGCTCCCAATGAGCCCATCAACAGCACTACAAAATGCAATTTGACTAACAAAAAGATCATGCTTTGTATCTGGTGGGATTAATGTGTTATTATCTTCAAATATATTTGGGAAAAGGTAAAAGCTTCAACAGTAAATTATATGCTGAGATGCTAGTCCGTGCTGACACTGCTATCCAGGAAAAATGTCGAGCTGAGTTCCAGCACAAAAAGGTAATGTTCCATCAAGGTAATGCAAGACCACATGTGTCTGCATTCACCAGCTGGATTCTGCATAGACTCGAATGGGATTTTTTGCCACACCCACCATATAGCCCCAACATCGCTCCTTCGACATCTGCCTTTTTTTCACACCTGCAGCTAGATCACACTCGTGCTATCTTCAATTCTGCACAGGACGTCCGAAATGGATTTGATATGTTTTGGACTCACGGCCACTAAGTTCCTGGTCTAAAGGCTTTGAAAAACAAAAGAATGTTGGCAGAAAATCGGTTTGGGCGGTGATTACCAAGTGCACTAATAGCACTGCTGATATGCTTTTTTTTTCTAACTTTATTTAGAACGCTTTTGGTGGAAATCTTTTGTTACAACCAAATACTTATATGAAAATATAAATATACTGACCAACTTAAATATTTAAAACTCTTATGGGATAAGGAAAATATCTGAGATGACAAGGTTTTAATTTTTGATGAATTTTAGAGTAAAAATGGATGCAAAATTAACTATGTGGAACACACATTAATAAACATATGGGATATTATCAGTATTTAATTTTACGTTTTTAAACTAAAATACAAACTATATGATGGTTTGAACAAAGTTGTTTGATCAAATAGATAATCAAATATGTAATTCTTACATAGCTTAGTAAAAATAACTTGCCAATAAAATGTGGTGCCTGTTTACAACTTTTGAGGACTGAACAATTTTCTATAAAACAATAATTCAGGATCATTGCTTATACAGCATTCTAATAAGGTTCACAATATAGTAACAACTTCTGAGTTTTTTTGCCACCACTTTCTTATAATCTTCCTGTAATTCTGCTTTATCACTGTTACCTGACGAAGTTTTCTTATCAGCCACATACTATCTGACCCCTGTTAAAGTCATGCATGTTGCAAGTGAGGTGTCTACTTCTAAGAAATGGCATTTTAAAAATCTAAGAGCTTAATTTCCAGAAAACAGATGAGAAATCCTTGACTGTTTAAAGCATTGGAAGTTAAAGTCACGGAAAATTCTCCACATGGAGCATGGACTTTGGATGTGTTAGCTTTTAGGATGTGAAGCAATCATAGAATCATCTTCACCACAGAACAGTCTGGAAATTATGAATGGTAAAGAGCCCAAGTAACAGATGATAACTCAGTGCTTCCAGTAGAAAAAGAGACACAGTTCAAATTACTTATTTATTACTTTAACAAAGGAATCAGAAGTCTGAAATAGCAATGGTTTCAAAGAAAATGCTTTGGGATGGTGGGGGTGATTTAATACTGAAAATACAAAGAATGATTTTTTTTTTCTTTGAATACCTAGAGATTTAAAATAAGACAGGATCAATAAATCAACATATCACTGCAGAGAACAATTTCTGATATTTGCAAAGACTTTTACATATAACCTGCTGATTTATAAATTTTCTATGAAAGCAAATTATAATACTAAATGAAATATACCCAAGGATGGTGATGGGAGCACCTGATTATTCCGTTTTAAACAGCTCCTTGAAGCAGATGCAAGTGACTGTATTAGTTCCACCACAGAACATAATTTCTGCACTGACTCCAATTTTGCAATGTTTCCTTTCTCAGGTTCAGGAAGATTCTTCACCCACAATAGAAATTTCAATGCTTCTGCACTTATAAAGCTAACATTCCTTGCAGCACTATAACAAAAGATTATCTTGATTTGAAATATCACATATTATAACATACTTTTAAAATAATATATCCAAAGAATAAAAATAATGCCCAAAATTAACAGAGATGAATCTTCTGCTCTTTTAAAAAAATTGATGTGACTAAATGAGAAAGCTCCTTACTATTTTTAACTGAATTAAAACTGAAGTTTAACGGCTTAGAATGTTAATATGCATTATTTTCTTTTCTGCTTAAAATATACATGTAACATTTCAAAAAAAGTAAATTTAAAGAAAATGTTTAATATTACAGTCAAAGTAGTCAGAGCTTCTGTAATTTATTTCACATAGAAATACCTCATAAATGTTAACTGTGAGGTACATATTAGCTGTGGTTTATAACAATCTTTTAACAAAAGCATATTCCAAATTCCAAACTATTTTTTAGCTACACCATAAATTTAAACTTAAAAGGAGAACTTTCTGTGAAATGTAAATTTGGAGCTTTTTGGTAGTGATACTTGGTAGGTTATTAACTAAAAAACTGAAATAGTGTTTAAAACTCTTAAAAATTCTTTGAATCATTTTGGAAAAATGTATTTGGTCTAATATAATATTTCATATTTTTAAAAACAGTTTTTTTAGTTAATAACCTACCAAGTATCACTACCAAAAAGCTCCAAATTTACATTTCACAGAAAGTGAGGCAAATTACTTTGCCTCCTTTCTGTGAAATGTAAATTTGGAGAAAATAATAAACATATAAAATAAACAATCATATTGCATAAAATAAATCAGGGTTTCTTAAAACTTTTTTCAGCTGCAACCCCTTTTTAACACTCGAATTTTTTTCATGACCCCTGGAACCCATAATATTTATGAAAATTTTGTGGGATTCCATAAACATTGCACAAATCTGACACCCGCATGAGTGAAACACTCAATTTTTTCACTTGCACTGTAATATACTATTGCAGTTTTAGGACACTAATTTCTAATTTTAAGGCAATTTTAAGGCATAGAACAATGTGAAAATTTTAAATAAGTAACAGATGAAATGACAGCATCACATGCAAAGCACGTAAAATGAACGTTTATATTATACAAAGAATGCATCAAAACATTTTCGTTTTCTCTTTGTCTGGTATTGTTTTATCTTTATCTATTTTCAGATACATTGTGTAAAAATATTTGGTAATTGTAAAATTATTACAATACTTTAAAGAAATATCAAAACTGCTAAAATTTTTGGTGACACCCTGCTGCAGGTCCCGCCACCCCTATCGGGCGTCCCGACCCACAGTTTAAGAAAATGAAATAAATAATCATATTGCAATGTAATAAAATATATAATAAACAATCATATTACATAAATGAATATAATAATAAACAATATAAATAAAATAATAAACAATAATAAATAAAATAATAAACAATGATATTGCATAAATGTATATGCATATTCTTAATAATTTTTATGTTTATGAACATACATATTACAAAGAACTAATTAATAACACATGTAGACTGCAGCCACATATTTAACTTGGGGGACCTTACCTCAAGATTTACATGCAATTGTTAACATCACCCTTCTTATTTTTTTTTGAACTGTTCCATCACATACTTAATATGATTTTTCATGCTAAATTCCACATTTTAAATATCCTAACAACAAAAATAAAACTGTCTTCTTAAAAACTGTAATGCCATTAAACAAACACTGTTTTTTTCTCATGTTGCAGATAGGCAAACAGAGAAATTCAACATAATTAAATAACTTCAGAAAAAAAGACGAATTTTTGATTATCTTTTGATGCTTTATTCCTGGATACCCCTAAATATCATATGCTAATTCAACTAGAGCTAACCCATTAAATAAATATTCTGATACAGCCTTACAATTTTACAATCCTCTCTCCCAGATTCTTCAATTTATATCATTTAAAACTCAATTCTAACAAAAATAAAATTTGTTATGAGGAATTATACATTTTTATTTTAAAGTGGAGATCTGTTCTGTGGATTGCAAGACATGTAGCCAAACTATACTTGCATCAACATGATGTATGATTTTCACTTCTGGCATGCAGAAAATAAGCTTTATTGGAAACAGGAACACTGGTATTTAAGGCTTACACTAAAAGATGCTCAACCACAGCACATATTGAATCATGCTTGCCACTCAACTGGCATGGTGGTTAGTACTGCTGATTGCTGTATCATAGGGCCCAGGTTCGAATCCCGGAGAAACCATAGATGTGTATAAATATATAATGTTGGTGCGACATGGCAGCACTCTAAATATGCTCCGAGCTGAAAGTCCTATTCCATGGCTTGAGAAGGGGAGAGTGGTGGGAGTCCCTTAGATCCGTCCCCCTGGGGTGCTTTCCGTCAAAATTTGTGACAGAACTGAGCAAAATCGCAGTCACCTGTAAAGTGCTCAACACTGCTGCCAAAAACAGGTGTAAACTAGCACTTCTTGCCACGAGGTATTTTGTAGGCTTGGGCTGATGTTACAGTCAGACAAGTGAGAATAAGTAACAACAAATCATGCTTGTGTGCATACAGACTGAACACAATCTAGCAGCATGGTGGCTTGAAAATGAATGCAATGTGAAGATAGGCAACTAAATCTCTTTCCACAGCACATTTTCTTGTAGTTCTAAATGCATTACTGTCAAACTGCTCACAGATAAAGCAAAAGTTCCAACACTCAGGAAAATATTATTACACAAATGTACACAGAAATTATGTTATTTGGTACCTACCAGAAGCAGCATTTTTATCAGCAGAAAAATGGCTGTTGTGCAACAAAAACACAATATTCATTGTTTAATTATGAAAATTTACCATTTTTTCAAGCATAATGAATGAGTAAAAAAATATATGTTTATTTTATTTTCATCTGTTAGCAGTTATGTTCCTAATAAGCTAGTCTTCTAATAAGTTCCTAATACATGATGCCATTTTTAATTTTTTTTTTTTACAAAAAGTATGCTTCATGGAGTATAGTTCTTGTGTCATTTTTTCTATGCACTCTTTCTATGCACTTAAGTGCCTTTTCCTGCAGAGTTTGTATGGTTTTGATGTGACACTGTGAATAAATTTTACAGATTTTTTCTTATTTTATAACAAAATACTTTGTAGAACTATTGAGAAAACTGTAATATAAAATCTTGAACTTAAATTAAGTGAAAGCAAACATTTTGGTCACATTACCATTCTCAATAAACCTTTTGTTCAAACATCTCTATAAGTACTTGCTATTTAAAATATATATATTATTTATGAATATATCAACAAAACTATTCTATATGACTAGATGAAATAGATTCTTCTTCAAAGGCATCCCATTTCCACTTTATAGAGTTTTCATATTAGTGCAAACTAACGCTTTCTAATGATATTAAAATCTTTTAATAAAGTCATAAGAAATATTTACCACATATTTACATTAAAGAACCAGAATTACACTCTTTCTCATGCCGACACAAGTAGGCATAACCAAATGGTGATAACCCCAGGCAAATTTATGAAAAGGCATAAATAAACTTGCAAATGGTATCAGTTAATTTGTGCAATTCTCATTCTTCAGATCATAAAGCTCTTAATGATTTTTCACAAATATCGAATCATGAAGGCCAACGAAGAGCTTAAAATCTTGATGAGGAAATAAACCTTGAAAATTCATAAGCTATCATTAGATATTTAGCAATGATGAAAAACAATTCACTAAACTTCTTACAAGGTCTAGAAGCCAACAGAATCTAGAATAAGCAAGTATCTATCAAATAAAAGGAATATTTAGCAATGCGGTCCAATAATAGGAATATTTAGCAATCCAATAAAAGAAATATTTAGCTCCATTATTACAATAAAAGAAATATTTAGCTCCATTATTACAATAAAAGAAATATTTAGCTTCATTATTACAATAAAAGGAATATTTAGCTCCATTATTCACTAACAGAATCCATACCACAGTATACAGCACATCCAAACCTGCTGAGAAAATGGGTTCTAAAATAATATGTCACTCCATACTCACTTCAAGTTCACATACAACTAGAAACACCAAACAGTACACAAAAAGAAACTGGAAACTAAACACATGGAAGAAGCTAACTTGGTGTAATGAAAGCATTTTGTATCACATCATGCGGACTCACAGGCACGTATGTTCTTTACCTGAAGAAGTGTTATCAGGCAGTAGCACTACAGAAAAATAAAAGGAAGGAAATGTAACATCTCACCATTCATTTTGCTGGAAAACCTTGATCTAGTTTTAAAAAAAAAAAAAAGTCTACCAACCTAAACATCACTACGGTTATCATCTCAAATCAATGCTGTTAGTTTTCAGAAATGCCCTCTGTTAGCTAGATAAAATACATACTGATGGTATATAATGATGCATTGTTTAGATTTTTTTAGAATGGTTGGTAAAACAGAAACAGCGGTTTTTATGTTGGGCTCCAAATCATCGCAGTAACTCTCCAATATAAATATACATAGTACGCTCGAATCATAAATTTAATCTATAACAGCTCAACTATGCAACTTAATTGAATTAAAAAGATTTACTAGTAACATATATCATTCATGAAAAATCAGAAAGTGGACATACTGTACCAAATAACAGGTCACTGGTCGCACATGCAAATTGAATGTCATGTTAGGTAAGCAGTCACAATAGACACTATGGTTCTTTGGTACATTAACCAGTTTCATATAAATTAAAAGCAGAGTATATGCATGGTGTTCAGCAATGGAGTTCCCGATTCCAAAATTAAAAAACTTGGAAACAAAGATCGATAGAAGAATATAACATGTGGTATGTTAACTGTGAAAGCTGTAAGAATGTTATATAGAGATATTGAAATATTAGTTACAAAAGCTGCCAGCACATAGCACTGTAGTTGCAATACATAGTGCATATAAACAGCACTCTGAAAGACATTAGAGCAATCAGTTCCACCACTGAAATGTGAAAGGAGGTTAGCATATCAAAGGAAGAGGTTGAGCCCATGCATTCCATTGAACAATGCATGTTTCAAGTACTGGAGTACCACAGGTTAGAACACAGTCCTATGGCAACAAGTCATAGTTTTCAAACATGATTTAACATTCCCAAAGGAGCTGAATGACAACCATTTGCAAGATCTTCGCTAAATTCCAATGCACAGGTAGAATGACTGAAGTTTTGTTATGAATGTTGGTCAGAGGCACACTGCAGTTACTCCTGAAAATGTCACCAATATTCCTGGAATTATTCAGCAAACTCCATGGAAATCCATCCAAAGAATTGCAGCAAAGTGATTTGAGGCATTCCAGCATGCAGAAAATACTGAGAAACAGGCTAGACATGTTTTCATTCAAAATCTAAAGTCACCAAGCCATGCCCACACAAGCTGTGCGACAAACAGTTGAATTTGAGAACCAAATTCTCACAATGATGCTTAATGAAGGATTTTGATGTTGGCTGCATCTGGTTCACATATGAAGTAAATTTCCACCTGAAGACATTCATATAAATGAACAAAACTGGCGAATTTGAGGTTCCAAAAATTCCCATCTATGTGAAGCAAAACCACTGTAATCTTCCAAAGTTATTGTTTGGGCTGCAGTAAGCAGCAGAGGCATTATCGACCCTTTTTTTATGCGAGAAACAATCACTAGTGAACATTATATTGCAATTCTGGAACAATTTCTCATCACAGCACACTGGAGGACTGACTCGGCCCCGATCGGTTTATGCCAGATGGAGCTCGATCACATCGAATCCAAACAGGTATTTCACTTTCTTGATGAATGCTTTAAGAACAGTCATTGCTTAGATTATTTCAAATTTACTGGTGCAGGCATGATTGGCCTACATATTCTTCTTGTGACTACTTTTTGTGGGGCACACTAGAAAACACTGTTTACCGGAATCACTCCACCACAATGTACGAGCTTGAATCGTCAACCTGTAAGGCATCTGAATCTATTTCTGTTGAGACATTACGGGAGGTGATAGCAAATTTCATAGTTTTTACTGCAAGCAGTAGACTTTCGAAACTTCAGTGGACTTCCTCTGCACTGCAAGCAGTGGACATTTCAAAAAGATTGCAATGCAATTGTGAAGAGTACTTGCATAGGATAAGTGTATTTATGAATGTTGATACAAGACATACAGTGCCATCCATTGGCACCTTTCGTAACTATTATTTTGAATTTTACAGCTTTTACAATAACTATATTGCTTATTGCATTCCTCTATCAAACTTTGTTTTCAAAATTTTAATTTTGAAATCAGGGACTTTTTTGCTGGACACCTTGTATGTCTGTAATCAAATGTTTACATTATAAAGATCAGCTAGCAAACATGTTAATACCTTAAACTTCTTTTACATTTATAAAGAAAATGCAGAAATGCTTCTGCGATAGCAGATGTTGATGCTATGATTATTGGAGATACATCAGCAATGTGGTTTAAACTTTCAGTCAATGGAAACAACATTTCTTCTACTGAAACAGGCCCATACATCTTTGACTGGAAGGGAGAAACTAAATAATATTGAAGTTAATATAACTTATTGTAGATAATATTTTTAAATATATAATAAGTGAAGATTAAAAATGCAAAAGGAATATAAGATGCTTAGAAAAAGAGGAAAACTGGCAATTTTTCAAATGACTTTCAGTTATTCTTTTTAAGTAATAAATACGTTAACAATTTAAAATATGACAAAAGTAATACATGAAATGAAAAGATTATGAACAGTTTATATATCATGAAGAAAAGTCTACAATTACAGTGATATGTATTATGCAAAAATTATTGATATGAACTATGAATAAGTGCAAAACACATTTTTATTGCAAATGAAATTAAGTACTTCATCAAGAAGATGCAATAATCAACAGGCAAATCATAAATGCAATAACAAGAACAAAGATATCTCAAGCCATAGTTTTACAGCTCACAGCATGATAATTTTATATTACACAAAGATATTCCTTTTGACACACAAAAATCAATTATCTTGCTTTCATTTTTACTACTGTTATAATTATACAGAATGACTAGTGCCCCTCCTATGTGATTATTCACCATGATGCTTTTTCTAAGTTAAAAATATTGCAGTTTTTTGTCCTGCACATCCTTCAATTTTGAATATACAAAAAATTTTTACTCCTGGGACATAAAATAATTTCCCTTTTTTTTAAATTTTCACTATTATAATTTACACTGAATTATTTTTTATTCATGCCTCTAAAGTAAAAATATTCTTTTAAATTTGTCAGCCTAATTTATTTATTCCTTTCACAAATTTCTTGACAAAGCAATCTCCTTAAAATCTGTCAGGTTCTGTTTTTACAACTATTACAACCATACATCATGTCTTCAGGAAAACTGCCTTTACAGTGACAAACTGCTTACTTCATGTTGATGATTTCTAAATGTTATATTTTCTCAGTAACATATACTTCAAAAAGAAACATTAAAAACTAATGCGTTAAAAAAATATTAAAGATTTACCACAGAAAGAACTACCACATTCTCCATACCCTAACATTCTCTACTGATGCCAGATATATTAACTCAGTCTTTTACAATCAAGAAAACCATTAATGCTGCAAAAATATTAAGATTTAAAATTATATTTTTATAAACAAATACTATCGATTCCCCCTTATTTGTGTTAAAAGACTTAATTTTAATTGCTCAGTTATGTTATACTTTAAAAGTTCATATTTCAGTTTCACACATGATAGATATTTTGTTAAGAAGTTTGCTTCTTGATTTACAGAACACTCACACTGAAGAATGATTTGACACACTTCACATGCATCTTTTACAAAGAAATATTTTTGGTTAACAAAACTACAACATTTTGTAGCTACAACTTTGTTTTCGGTTTTTTATTAACCTATTAATGCTTGACAGTTAGTTTTATTTTCTGTTGATGTGTTAATTAGATCATCTTCTCCCAATTCTTCAAGTAAACAGATGCACTATTTATTTTCACATGCACATTTATAGAATGCCAAAAGTTCAGCTTCCATTGCCAGGCAGAGAAACTATTTTTTGTTACATTTCCAATAACCTCCAAATGATTTTCCATCTTTAGTGGTACACCTTGAAGTAGCATTTAATTTATCATTGTCTGAAATATATATTAAACATACATTATGTGTTCCTTTAATGCATTTAAATAGTCTCTTCACTGCTTTACTATGCTTTTCTCCGGGATCTTTTTTTATATCTTGACAAATTTCTAATAGCAAAAGATATGTCTGGCCCTGTGCCTGTTGCTAAGAGCATCAATGAATCTAATGCTTCTTGATATTTTGATTTTCATACTGGTGGAGAAGATGCCACATCAAGATTTTTACTTAATATTTCTGGAATTGTGACAGGTTTACAGTTTTTCATTTTAAAGTTTTTTAACATTTTAATCAGACAGTTTTCTGGACGGACAATAAATTTTCCAGATTCTTGTCTGATGTCAAGTCCTGAATATATTTGCCTGTTTTAGTGATCTGTAAGGCAGATGACTTAAAACATTGAGAGATGAAGTTATCTATTTTAGAATTTGAATTTTCAATAAGAATTAAGTCATCCACATATACTGCTAAGACAAGATAGTTGAGCTTATCTTTATATATATAAATGCATGATTCTGATTTTAATCTTGTTAAATTCTGTTTCTTAAGAACTTTACATACTTCATACCAGCATCTTCTCAGATGTAGTTATACATTTATACTTTTGTTCACAAGATGTACTTTGCTGGGATAAATCTAGATAGTTGTTACATGTAAATTAGCTTATCTAAGTGTCCATTTAAACATGCAGTTTCTACATCAAAAAATCTTATTCTGTAGCTTTTGTAACTGCAATCAAAAACAGTGATCTAAAGGTTGCAAGTCTCATTACTGGGCTAAACTATCTTCATAGTCAATTCCTTTTCTTTGGTTAAATCTGACCTTGTTTTATTAATTGTTTCTCAATTACACTTTTCCTCCTTTTCAGTCAATTTCCAATGGCTTTTAACAACTTTCTTATCAGCAAATCACACACACAGTTGTCTCTTCTGCACAGGATATTAATGATTATCATTTCCAGGTCCTTCAGTTACATTTCATTGGCATTTCTAGTAAATTTGTTCATGATATGGGTTTGACAGTAAAATTTCCTCAGAGTCTTGAACTGTTATATCATCTTTTCTATGATCTCTGTCAGTTATTCCTGAAGTGTTTTCATTGTCATTACTTTGTTTCTGGATAAATTCTTCTATTTGATTTTTTATTGAATTTTAAATCTTTTCTTTTCAGTACAGCTGACTTGAATTTCTGTTTATTAAATTTTATGTCTCCCATTCCCTGAATTTTATTCAGTTCAGAAATATAAATTTTGTATGCTTTTCTCCTCATGTTATAATCTACCATAATTGCTGTTTGAGCTTTTAAATCCAACTTTCTACGTTTTTCTTGTCTTATGAACATATACTTCAAATCCAGATCTTTACCGTAAATAATGTTAGTCTTGCATACACCTCCCGTTGTTCACATGTACAGCTACACTTAACACATTCACTCCAAAACTGCATCAGTATTTCTATATCAATGAACACAGTTCTAGCAATTTCGATTATAAAATTATTAAAACATTCAGCTTTTCCATTACTCTCTGGAGCATGTCATGTTGTAAGTTGATGATAAATTCACATTTTTTCCAAAAATTCTTTCATACTTTTAGCTAACAATTCATTGCCATTATCATCACAAATTCTTTTTAATTTCTTTCTTTTTAATTCTTTTTAATTGTTTTTCTTCTTGAGTAATAAGCTTTATTAAAGATTCTTTAATTTCACTCTTTTTCTAAATTGTAAATACAAACATGAAGCTATTGTAATCATCTACCATTGTTAGAAAATAACAGCTTCAGTCTATTGACTTCTCAATTGGTACAACTAAATCTAAATACCAGAATTCTAAACTACCTTGATTGCTTAAATTTAACACTTTTATAAGAAGTTCATGGTATTTTTCCTATTGTGCATGATTCACAATTGTTTTCGGAGAAAATCTTAATTTTCTAATCAAATCACTGATGAGTTCTTCATTTTATCAATCTTTGATAGTTGAGGTGACCTACTCGCTGATGTCATAGTATATCATAAACATTACTAATTTTAGCTTCCTCTATTAAATTTTTCCTACTTCAAATTTAATTCCTTTTCTATTCCAATAATAGGAATATTTAGCCTAGTAAGACAATCTAATATGCACTGTTTTCTCTGAAGAAATCTCTTTAAAATCAGAAATGTAAGGTGAAAAGATATAGAAACAAAGCAAGCAACAAAGGCATACATCTGACTTCTGTTCAAAATGATTCAATATTAAAAGACACAATGAAATATTAAAAAACTGAAACCTAAAAGAAAAGGAGAACTGAAATCTAAAAGAAAAGGAGAAAAATGGAAAAGAAAAAAGAAAATATAAGTAGGAGAGAACTAGAAAAGTTCAATTTAATTCTTCCTCTTCTCTATCAATCATAGTTTCTACCTGTGAGGATCGACGTGAGTTGTTTCATTTGGCAGTGAAGTGGTAATACAGCATGGTAATTTGGCATTATCACAACCACCCTGGCGCAATTTGGTGATTTTTTGAAGAAGAAAAAGAATGGTAATTTCATATCGAAAGAGTTATTTATTTCTTATCATACATGTTACTAGGTACATATTTTAATTTTAGCTTAATATTTAGTCCAGAAAAAAAATTATAAAAATACTTGCAAATGGTATCTCCTGAAAATAATTATTTCAGGCTGCAACACTCTTACTGGCTATTTCCAGCTCTTCCAAGCAAAATTTAACACTCATTTTTTTACTCCAGCAGTATATAAATTTGACTACTGTAGTAAATGGCAGATGACTATTCACGAACCAATCACCACTTCGAATAGCTTCTGCACATTGCATTTCCAAAAAGGTTGTTTGCCAAAATACGTCAAATACGAGTCCGAACATTCCCACGTTTATGGCAAAATATTTCACAGAATTTCTCCATTTGAAGGAAAATACCCCAACCGCATATTTCAGAATTCAGATGAACATGAAAAATATCACAATTTTTTAAAATACAATTTATCTTTAGAACTTATAATACAGCCAAAAAACAGCAATAGCAAAACGAAAATGGCAATGGTGCTTATTCAAACTTAGTTATTGATATGGTTACCTAAGTAAATGTTATGCACATGGTTACCACAGTTTGGCGACTTATACCAAGGTGGCCGTTATAATACCAAAGTACCCCTTAACTCTTTCGCTGTCCTCTCCTGTCCGCGAAAATTTATCCCCAGCGGCCCTTTGTTTTTCGCAGCATGTAATGTTGTTTTCTTTGTACATATATAACTTCCATATAACTTTCGTATTGGATGAACGTAAATGAATATTAAGTAAAATTATAAGAAAATAAAGCATAATGGAAAAGTAATAATATCTTTGGTTATTTCTAACAGCAGGATTAATTTGATAATATCTGATCCAGGCAGTCCACTTCTCCCATTTTGTTGTCATAATCTTTACAATGATTGGTTTTTTTGCAGTTCTTTTCTGTGTTTCAACATCAATCACAGAGTTATTATGGACTGTACTCATCAAATGTATATCCTTCTTTTCTTTCCAATTCACAACCTCATTTTTTCACTTTTTCTGCTGAGTAGACATTGAATATTTCTCGATGTTATTATGTAAATTATATAATGATATTATGTAAAATGGTGCGAATATTCATAAAACTTGGGAGGGAGGAATTCAATTAGAAATAGAATGGCTGATTAGCACTGCCCTCTACGAAGTATTAGAACAAACAAACAAACAAAAAACTCAAACAAGTAAACATTTAGAAAGCATTTTAAACATTTAAAAGTTTTAAAATGTAGAAGAACGCTTGAAGCGCGTTACGGCCACCCTGCAGAAGTTTTACTTGAACGCGCTAAACGCGTTACGGACGACGAAGAGGTTAAACACACTGAAGTATGAGAGAAACAATTTGTTCTTCATCACTTTTGGAAGGAAAATAAACTGCACAAAAATACGGTGAGAGAATTAAAGAAATAAACAGCAATGTAATACGAATTCAAGGGCTTATGCTAACCTAATTATCAAGTAAACCAATATTTTTCACACAGCTTTTTCATATATTCCTCCTGTAATATTGAAACCACCATTCAGAATAGGAGACTGCTAACTAATCTAAACTTTCAGTTAAAAAATATTGGTCAAAGAAAAATTATAATAGGATTAAAAGTAAATTCATTCTGTACATTTTTTGCAAAGTATTATGCTATGTAACTAATACATGTTTTTATTATTTCTGCATAAATTTTATCAATTATATTAACTTGCTGCACTCTCCTCACAGTTACACAAGCAAAACTCATTTCTCATCCACAAAAGGTGAATGACAATATGGGTTGCAAAATACAATTTTCATTTCCAAATCATATAGCTGAGTCAGGGTTTTAGATGATTATGGCAAAGCACACAAGGGCTATCTACCTATGGGAAGGGATGCCTTTGTGGAGGATTTTCTAAGGGAAACTGGCTCACATATAGACATTACACATAGGATATACTTCAGGAAAACTGTAAGTGCATAAGAAATTTAACATCCGTGCTATAGGAACATAAAATATATTTATAAATCTCAGCATTTTGTTGTGAGATTATGTAAGGTAACATAATAAAAATTCAAACGCTGATAAAAAGGACTTTTATATAGTAATTCTTTAAAGTCTCATTAATAACTGACTGGATGCCCTAAGGTATTAGGGTAAATGCACAAGGCAGAAAACTAATAATACATTTACCCTAATTCCTATCTCCTTGTAACGACCTATTTATACCACAGCCAAAGCAGATCAATGGCAAAACTTAAAACGTTCTGACAAATACATCCCAGTCTCGAAAATGTGTTTTCAAGAAATTTCCAAACTGTTACCAAGTTGGCAAGGAATCGTCGAATGTCATCCAGTGGGTGACTAAAATCTGAAGTTCAAAAACCCAGATCTCGGTTTATTTAAACTATTCTTCCAATCACAATATTCATCTACTGATCTATTACTGTATTATATTTTACTAAATAAAATAAAATAAAAATTACTTTAATGAAATAAAAATTACTTAAAAGCATAAAAAGTGCTTACAAGTTGAAGACTAAAGGAGTCTTAATAGGATAAAATTAATAAAGTATAGTTTAATCTTTACTTCCAGAAGTAATGCAATGAAATATACATAAAAGTTACCCACTTATCTAACTCACTTTTTCTTTTTATTTGACAGCCACAGGCTGTTTTCAAGACAGACAGCAGAATTCTTGATGTCGTTCTGTAATAAATCTTGTAAAGCAAATTTGGAGCTTCAGATACACATCCCTTATATATATATAGAGAGAGAGAAAAGTAGTTTAACATGAATATATAGTGGTTAAAAACACTTCAATAAAATTAATATAAATTTTCAGTTACCCATTATCATTAACCATTGCAATAAGACACAACGGCTAGAAACCATATTAACGTCGTGAGTTCCTTTTGCTAAATTTGCAGCAAATTAGATGTCAGATTTTCATCTCTCTCTCTTAAGTGAATGAGTTTTGTTTTGGTTGCAAAGTGTATAATCAGGACTTAATTTCTAAAATTAGCTCTATGGAAGGATGTCAGGAAAGATGAAAACAAAGAAAACGGTAAATGAAATAACAGAAATTTAACTTCAATAAAAGATAATGAGATAAATAAAATTTTTACAGGCTAAATTAATGATAACTAGTTAAATACGAGTAATAAAATAACAGGGCCTATTTTACTGGGGACTTAGTTGGAATTAAAATTTCAGACAAGAACTAAAAAATAGAGAAGCCAGGCTCTAGCTGAATTTCAGCCTTCAATATACAGCCTAATGTACTATTTCAAGGGATAACAGCAACAAAGATTTTTATTTTTTCTAACATACCAGTGAAACAATGCACAAAAGTTAAAGCATCTCAAATGAGAATAAAATAGTAAAAACAGTATGAGAGTATGAAAGGAAATTTTGAGAAATGTGGGCATGAAAACAAACAGAGAAGAATCCAATACATTTGGCCATGATTTCCTCCTGACACAATTTTAACTGAAGCAGAATAAGACAAGAGAAAAGAAATTCTCACAAATCCAAGTGTTGACTTGTAAGCTGAGAACAAACACAATGTTCTAGAAAAGAGATCATTGTGACCCCCTTTATTTAATCACATTAGTTTGAAAAGTCCGGAGGTGCTCTTTACCATAGGAAGTCACTAGTATTAAACATGTTTGAGCCATTTATCTTAATATTTCACTGTGTTAATACTATCACAAATTGAAGCCCATTTACAGCTTCTAGAAATAAACAACACTCCCCTTCCTTGTTCCATTGTAAATCACAAGAAACAAATTGCTGATACCAAATTTAAAAAAATATGACATCATGACCAAGCAGTTTCAGGAATAAAACAAAATTAACTGTCCTCAAACCAACTCTCTTAAATTTATTATAGTTCCTGGAAAATAAGCTTTTCCTGCCCCACATACAAATTCTAACCTCTATACAAAGGTTTATTTCTTAAAAATAAAAAAAAAACAGACATGCATTCAGAAGTTAGAATTGATTTTTAAAATTTACTCCTAACTGAAGCAAAATTTTATGAGATCAAAAGAATTTTCAGTTGATACTCAGTTCAATTTCAAATGATTTGACAGAGTCTATTCATTTAGGCCCAGCTAGAATTAGGATTTATCTAAAGAATTTAGAAATATCAAAGCTGGGCTTCAGTGGCCTCCGGTGCAATTTATGATCTGCATATAGTCCTGGATGGCTAAGTCATCTGCAAAGAACAGATAAATGCAAAGTCCTGTAATCTTTAACTCAGTAATAAACAAATTTCTTGGCTAATATTTCAGCTTAAAAAAGGGGGGACAGTTTCAGAGGATGAACAGTTTATTTTTTAACAAACAACTGATCAGAGCACAAGCAGCCTTCTTCACTATGCCAAGCGAAGATTCAAATACTTAAGGTTTGATGAAAATATGCTTAATAATAGACTTCAATGAGAAAAACCAGGTTTCTGCTTTCATGTCCATATCTATTCAAGTTTTTTTGGAGGGCTAGTGATGTGTGCTTAATATTACTATCACAATGCTGCCTTGTACAATATTCAGTTTCATACCTTATTTGAATGGCCAATATTATTAAAACCTGTTGAGCGGGAGACATATTTTCTTAAAATAACTTTGCTTTTTTTTAAAAATATCATACAATGAGACGGTTTCAGTACTTTCCATCAAAAAAATTCATGTACACAGAGGTAGTGTAATTTTAATTACTTATGATCTAATTATAGGTCAGTCACCTGCAATACATGTTGGTCTTACTGACATTAGTGTGCTTGCTAATACAAATCACATAAAAAGCAGAAGACATCTTTTTTGAGGTTTTGCTTGATGAAATCCCATGTAACAAATAAAATACAATTATCTATTGTATTGAGGAATGACAATGTTCAAGAAAATTTCTAAAAATGGTATTTGCAGTTTTTCTGATGTCAGTCTAGATCAAAATGCATTAAGAATGTTGAGGAACTTGACTGTTTCATCATCAGAAACAGGCATTCCAAAAAACATGAAAAAATAAGTACACAGATGAAACATTCATGAAGATTATTCATTTACACCCACACAAAAAAAACAAATAAACTATTGGGATCTGGCTATAAAAAATCAATTAAATTTTCAAAATGTTACTAAGAACACAATAAAAAAGAAATTGATTCACATTTTATATTGCAGAGGTGATAGCTTGAGTGACAGATATTGAACAATGATGACTAGATGGAGTGTAGGATAATCCAAGTTATCTACTCAAGATATTCCAATATAATAAAAACCTCAGACCTCTCATTATGTACATTAATCAATCAAAGCATTATATATTCACTGCTCTAATACCACACTGCTCCACTTGTGAGAGGAAAACAGCTGATACTCATCATGGTATGGATTATACAAATTCTTAGTGTGCAGAGGATGACTGTACCAGATCTGCAAAGACCATATAACTTCTGCAGATTATATAAGGGGGTGGATGATGAGCTCTGAACTAGCACTTGATGGCATTCCTGACATGCTCGATGGGATTAATATTCAGTAAGTTATGTGAAACACAATAGTATATCTCTTAAACCACAGTAGCAAATCTGGCCTCGCAATAAAAAATGTTGTCCCGCAGGAAAAGTCTACCCTATGGTGGGGAAGACAGAAGCCATGAAAAGGTGGAGAGAGTCAGCAACAATGCTCACATAATTCACACCTATCATGGTATGTTTTAAACCAACCACCTGCTGCAAGGGCATTCATCAGAATGTTCCCCAAAACATACCTCTCATAAACCGCTCATTTACATCATACAGTACATGAATCATTCAAAAGTTCACTTGGAAGACTGCATACCCTGGCATGGCGATCAATGTGATATACAACAAATTGTTATTCATATGACCAGGCAATTCTTTTCTATTGCTGCTCAGTTTAATCCTGATGTTTATAGGCCTGGCGCAATCGTATACGCTGCTTGGCTAGTGGAATTAGGAAGATACGTTAACTTAGAGACATGACATATGACATGTTTTTGAGTTTATTATTTAACAGAATCTGCTGAAATGTGTAATTGGGTACATCTTACACAAAATGCATTCAGCTATCATTCTCCACTGTATTCATCTGCCAGCTGAACTATTATCAGTTGCCTATTTGCTTTCATTAAAAGAGAAAATCTTAAAATTCTGTATTTATCCATCAAGTGAGAATGGCTAATGCCTCAGTGACTACTGCTGATTTGATCATTCTTCTACTTTTCAGACACAAACAACACCAGCTAGTTTTCAGGCCATCACAATCTGACCTTTACTAAAACTGCTTAAATCAGAAGCCTTTCCAATTGCATTGTATTGCATTTCAATAGAATGATGCCTCAGTATATACAGCAGCCTTAAATAACATGCCATCTACAACTTTCTGGTGAGAATGATTTGGCTATTGATGGCATAGTACTTCATTTGTTGCAGGCTTCATTGTTGTTCATTTGCTAAAGAAAGGTATAAAATTCCCCGTTTCAATGACTCAGAATGAAAAAACAAAAACAAAAACAAAACAAAAAACAAATTAAAAAAAAAAACCACCACAGATAAACAATTTCATTTGCTGAACAGTAAATGCTTGAAAGTTTCTATACTATGCCACTGTGAAATACCACATTTTGTCATTTCCATTCAGCTACTGCCAAAAGTAAGAAATTATTAGTGCTATAAGCTTTGTAATGTATCAAAAGGCATATAGATCATGAAAATCTTTTATTATATTATGATAAAAAAAAACATTATTGTACATAAGAAGCTCAATCCTTATCTTCTAAATCACAAATTCTAAAAAATGCATTTTTCTCTGCGACATGCAAGGTTAGGCTTCATGAAGAAGTTTGCTAAGGAAAGAGATGCAAGTGAGCTAAGATTCAAACAGGCAAGTAAATTTCAACTTTTGCACTTTTGATTGGTATTCCTTTTTTCTTGTCTCAAGGTAGCAACAAATATGCTGAGCACTTCCAGCAAGAAATTTCTGACGTTCAGAAGTAACAGAATCTAATGGTTGATACTCATAAGAGAATACACAGCAAAAAGTCACATATGCTCAACTTTCAGATAATATCCTTTCTTGATGTAATTATATATTTAAGTATACTTAAGTAGATTTAATTATATGTAATAAATAGACTTACGGAAAATTTCAACTACTTACTTCAACATAAATATCATCAAATTCACATACTTTGATTTGTGCAACCAAAAAATGGAAAAATACCCAGTCAAATTTTGATCACAATATACTTCAGTAAAAATATCATAATTTCATATAGTTGCTACATAAAAAGTACCAAAAGGAACTTTTTTTTCCATAACTAAATTGCTCAAAATAAAAGTTCATCCTCATACATAAAAATCTGTCCATTTCCCCATTGCATACAATAAAGAGTGGACACTGAAAATTTCAAATATACAGGAACTGACAGTACAGCAAATAGTTACGCCCTATAAAGATTACTGCACATGGTTGAAAAGGAATGTGTCTAGAGAAATTCATATATCATGCTAGACATACAATTCAATAATTAAAACTGTAGCATAAAAACTATGGGATAAATTACCTTTTTATTAATCAGAGGTTTTAAACAATGTGTTGTTTTTATTCAAAATGGGACTATCAAATCAAATATTACACAAACATCTGGGAAAATGTACAAGCTATGAAGCAACATTCTACATTGATGTAACTAAAATATATTCTATTATAACTTCAAAGCAAAGCATAATACATAACAAAAACAGTTATAGATTTTTTTAATTTGTTTTAGTTAAGTACGCTATAATTTTGGGAGATGCAAATGAAGAAATTTTGAATTTTTAGAAATGCAACACTGCAGAAAACAAAAAGAGAAAGAACATCAACATTTCTGATAAGTTTTGAGTTATTGCTGCTCGTAAAATAATGTAAATTAAATAAATATTAAAATTGTTGGTATTATCTGCATATGATTAGTAAAGTGTGAATATCTTTTGATGTTGCACATTATTAATAAAATCATATTTTATGAATTTAGGAAGATAGCAGATTTGGTAGACCAAAACAAAATACTTAAAAGGCAAAGAAAACTTTTTGTAGATTTTGGATGGTTTTTTTTTCTAACAAAATTTTAGTAAGTATTATTACAAAAGCCTAAAAAATGAATATGAAGACAAATACGAACTGTTAAAACTTCTGTTTCAAACATGATTAAAATAACGTGAAAAAGAATTTAATCATTAACAAATTCGTAAAGGATTTTTAAACACCAGGATCAGAAACAAGCAATGGCTAAAAAGAAATAAGTATTTACTTTAGAAACAATGCAACTACAGAAATAATAGCAGACAGAATGCTTTAGAGAAAGCATGGGCTACTTGCCTTCAACTATACACCTTAATGAAGCATTTTCTAATAAAAAAAATGCAACATGGCTTAATGCTACAATCATAACAACTAGCAGCTACTAAAATGCAGCTTTGGCTTTCTGGTGATTTCTGTAATGTATAACATGATTTCCCTTGGAAAGTCTTATAAAAGTATAAAATTTAAATATCTTACCTCTTTACATCTGAAAAGCCAGTATGTTTGCTTTAAACTATGAGACTGCAGGTTTAAAATAAGTCACAACTTCATCAAAAGTTCTGTTTATTCCAATTACATAGCATGTCCACATAATGGATACAATTTGCAGTATGGCATTGTTAAAGACGCGTTTATCTTCCTATATACATGTAGAATTCTGACAAAGCGTTCAGTTATTTAATTTACAGAATCAACGCATGTAAATTTGTCCATACGGCAAATGACTAATGTTACAATCACAGAAAGTCTTTTAACTTTGAGCACTAAATACTTTTGAAGAAACATATGTGAATCTGCTCATCTAAAGATACATAATGATAAAAAAATTACAGCATAAAACTTTGTTAAAAGGCACTTAAAAAAGTTAAAATGAATGACATTAAACAATAAAGTTTTATTTTGGAGTTTTCCAAAATTTCAAATTCCCATTTTATGTCCTCAGATTACAGATAATCACTTCCAGACAAAAATGCAAATTAATAAATGCAAAACTTTATGAAGGAATTATATGAATTTTATGATAATGAATAATAATAAGAATTTATGGAATTTTAAGAAGGGCAACTGGGAGCTCTTTTGAAACGTTATTGATCAAAATGTATTACAAAGTAATCTCATAAAGATCTTGATACAAGATGGCTGTTAAAAAAGGAAACTGTGATTCAGGCTGCAAAACAAGCTATCTCAAGAGGTAATTTTCAAGATTGGCTCCATTTTTCATGCAAGCCTCTCCACTCACGAAATCTCCCTTGGAGAAAAGGATACATCTAATTTATAATCTAAGGGATACAAGTAACCTTTTGATTTAAATCGAACTCTCAAAAATTAATGCAGAAATAAAATGAACCTATGCACTGTTTAACAAAACAAGCTGCAGCAATCTGTGCACTAATACTAATGATTGAACTTCTAATACAAAATTATGGAAGCTTGTAAAGAAAATCAGTAATAAACAACTCTAGTATGAGGTTTGTAACTGCCTTTTGGGTCACCACTACCAAAAAATAAGTAATCTTAACTTTTATGAGAGAAGATAAAAAATGTTGAAGAATAGGATCAGGCACATTGTTCATGGTTGCCGAAGTAACATACATAAGAGAGCATTTTCACTTAGCCCTAGAGGTAAAGAGTCTCTCTTGGAAATTTTTAATAAATCCTGAAAGCTAGGTACATTTCCTAAAGATTGGAAATGCGCTCTTGTTGTATCAATTATAAAACCTAATAACCGCGCCAGATTGTCAAATAGTTTTAGACCTATTGCATTGACTAGCTTTCCTTATAAGCTAATGGAAAAAATGATTTTACACAGACTGACATTTTACCTGGATTCTTATAATTTATTGCTGAGAGAACAATGTGGTTTTAGGAGGGGACACTGCTATTGATCAAATACTATACTTTAGACAGAGTCAAGAGGCTTACATAATTGAAGCCCACTAACAACATGGTGGCAATGTTTTTAGACCTGACAGAAGCTTTTGATCGGGTCTGGATGCATAAGCTGATCGTAAAGCAACTTGATACTTTACAATTTGATGGGAAGGCACTTGCATGGTTTGAAGATTTTCTTAGGGGTAGATCTTTTTTAGTCAACTTTAATGAGTCCTATTCTAGAGATTACAGACTAAGCCAGGGTCTACCTCAGGGCTCAATGATGAATCCTCTATTATTCTCATTATATTTGGCAGAGACTGAGGCAGTTATTACCCAGAGATGCTAAAGTGGACTATTTGTGATGATCTAATATTATGGAACTCTGGGCTAGATACTAAAGTGGCTGAAAATAATATCAATTCCACCTTTACTAAAGTGGAATTTTTTTTCCAACCACTATAAAAACTCTATAATTATCTGCATATTGTTATGATGGATCAGTCTTTACCATATATTAAACATCCTAAATATTTGGGCTACAAGCTTGATCCAGAGTTGTTGTGATAAAACACACGGAAAACCTGGTTCTGAAGGGCAGGAAAAGGCCCTTTGATCAATAGCATCCTTAAGTATATGTCTAGTACTGAGTGGGAGGCAGATTTATCTAATCTCAAATCTACATATATGTCACTGATAAGACCCATTTTGTAATGCAGTTCGGAGATTTACTCTTGTGCTTTTCCAACAAATTTGGCTAAACGTGAGCATGTTCACTTGAGTGCAACCCATCTAATTTGCTACCTTATGCAACAGCTGCCCGGCTAAAATAGCCCTCACTGAATGTGATATACAAATGTTGAATTTGAGACACAAAGCTAAACTGTTAAAATACCTTAATAAACTATATTGTTGGTAGTCAGAAGTTTATACATCTTAATAATCGGGTTTCTAATCAAAGATTGAAAAAAAACAGTTTGTTAATTATCAATTACTTTAATTAAATTTTTTGTTATGATTGAAATTATGTTTCCATGTAAAGCGTACATTTTATCGATTATTATGTAATGCGTACTTTCCGAAATTGCGTACTGGTCTTAGCAGGAGAAAATGTCCCAGTCTGTAAGCACAGCACATGTGTAACAGCTCCAATCCTGAGGGAGCGCTATCTTCCGCGGGCTGCCATTCCGAACGGGTTAATAGCTTTAAGACTAGAAACCCTAAAGATATCTGGATTTTGACTGACAGTCACATTTCTATCCAGCATATACAAAACTGGCCTCGTATTGGTTATAAGTCTTCACTCTTTATTTTGGTCTTATTGCAAAAACTCTCTTCTCGTCATGACATGTATCTGAAATGGATTCCCTTCACATATTGGTTAACAGTGGTAATGAAATGACTGATGCCCTGGCTAAGGAAGGTACATCAATGACTGATCACTGGCAGCCTGACCTTTTTGGAGATCTGCTCGTGAGTTAGCTCTACAGTTGCCTCTTCCTGGCATTTCTCCTCCGGTTCATGATTGGTACTTTGGCAGGCAGCCAGGAGGCGCTATTGCTTTGATAAGGCTACTAAGTGGACATCTGAAACACTTTAAATCTGATTGGAGAAATATGATCTAACCTGTCTGTAAGAAATGTAATACTGATCATTTCACTCCTGGACATCTCACCTGTTTGGGACTTGTAAAAGAGGATCTAATGAAAACAGCTACCTATGCATGGGAAATATTGTTGGCTCTTGGACTCATGGATCTGGTCTAGCCGAATGGCTAACCAGTTAGGATCAGTAGTCAGGTAGTCTGCCTTTGGCGATCTAAACTTTACATGTAATTTCTGCCTGGACTGCAAGGTTATAACAACTCATTTTAACTGACTTTGCATAGAATCAATTCTAATTGCTTCCTAACCAATTTGAGAGGACCTTGCTAGCAAGACCTAAGCAGGATCTTTAGTTGAATAAATGTCTATTAAATTAGTAATATTATGTTCCATTATTGTATTTCTAAATATATATAAAAGGCAAAGAGCAAACTCTGAAATTCAGAATATTTAAAAAAATCTTACCTCTAGATCTTTAACTTGCTTTAAAACAGAGCTTTCTAACTTGTGTTTGGTAGAAGGGATAATTTTTGACGTCACTGAATGCTTATCTGTTGAAGCACCTGGTATCTCCCTACTTTTCAATAATTTAGCCGCATGCTACAATTACAGAAAGTTCATTTAAAAACTTGGATAAACAGAGTATGAAATTCTGACAATTAATGCAGTAAATTAGAAATATAGTTACATCATTACAGTTTACAGTTCATACAGATACTATAAAATCCCACACATATGCAAATTAACTAAATTTGAAAAACAAGTACTGTGATTAAAATAAAATATAATTCTACACACATGAATGCAAAAATAAAACACAACAAGAATTTTAATTTATTCAACAGTCACACTGACACATACATCAAATGGGATGGAAAAAAATTATGTTTGATGGGAGGTACAAAACTGGAGAGCTTGAGTAGAAAAGTTTGCATTAGACCATAGAGAATGGAGAGCAAAATTGAAGGCTTGAAGCACCAGTTTTGCATAAAAAGAATACATAAATGAATGAAATTTAACATAAAAGTATAATTATGCCTTAATAAAAGTAAAATAATTTTCTATCCTCAATCAATGTCCAAATTTGTTCTGAGTCAAAAAAGTTTGGGGTCTCACTTTGTTTTCGAAAATGAAGACCCACAACCTGAGAGGTTTGCTACAGTAAAGTTTGCTGTGCATATTGGCATACAGTGTTGTTGTCGTAATTACAATAACAGAAAAAGAAAACCTGTTCAGACAAGTTTAGCCACTTGTTATTTTTCTTCAGAAAGACACTTAGAAATTGGTGTTGCTGCCCCACCTAACATACCAACTCCTTCCATCTTTCATATGGCCTCTTCAGAATTAACGTTTCCTTTACTTGTTGAGTCTTTAGGTCTTGTTTCCTTTACTTATTGAGTCTTTCTTTTACTTGTTTAGTCTAAATGACTAAACTTTTAGTCATTTAGGGGACAAGTCTGACATTGACTTACCCACATCCATGTAAAGATCTACTAGCCACATCCTCCCCCCATACATAATATGCCTCAAGGATGACAACCCAAGGTGCATATAAAAGTAATCCTGGCACTTTCTGATTACCCACTTCCTCTCCTGAAAAGTTGCCAACTCTTGGTGACTAATTTTCACCAAACTAAGTTGTGAAAGACAACAGCCATTTTCAAAAATCATGAAATACTACGAACTACATACAACAGCAAATAATTAACAGAATTAAAAATGTAAAAACATCTCAAATTTTATCTTAAAAAAATATCAGAGAATTCCAAAAATTTGGCAACGTGCACAACTTGGCAATGCATAAACTATCATTTCCCTGCTTATGCAGCAATCTCTTTTTCCTGATAAAAATCAGGCAATTGGACTGTTTTCTCATTGCACATGTTGTAGTTTTTCCATGTTTGCTTTAAAAACATCAAATTGCACAAATTGTAACATTGGTACACAGAGGCCATTGCTTATGAAATACAACTTCTGGAAAATTTTACATTCTCTACTGTTAGGCAAAACACCACATTTCTGATGAAACGCAATGCTTTCTTTTTCATCAGCCACCAATCTCCACACCCCATTACCATTCTTTACATGAAAAGAACATGTTCTCAAATGCGACAAAAAAAACACTAATCAGAAAAGTAGCCATTAAATCTGAGAGCAGAAATCAGTTTATTTGTTGAATGCATGCATACCAGGACAGCTGATGTCATGGGTTGCTTATTTTGACAACATAGCACATTGACCTGTGAATGCTTTTCAGAGGGTTTAGGGTAAACACAGAGTAGCATATTTCTTTATAATTTCTTATTTATAATGTATTGTACTTAAATTTTAAAATGCGTTTATTTATTTGTTTTAGCATTTCTAATTGTTTATTTGATAGTCTATCAAACTATAATCTCACAAACACCATTAGGAGACATGTGTAGAGAATTTAGTATCCATATATGAACAAATTCATGGTATGAAAAGTTGTTTGAAATATAACTTGTTCATAAGGTGAAAAGCATCCGTATTAGACTTTAATCCTAAAATGACAAAAACTACAAACCAACAGGTCTGCCTCTCAGTAAATTAAAGACTTCCATAAATGTAAGTTTGTATACCATCTCATTTTACATTTCAAAATCTTATATAACAATTTTAAAGAAAACAAGACAAACATATCAAACAGATAAACATAAGTATTTTATATGATTTTTTGTACTTTGCATTATAGCAACTTCAATAGAGTTTCAGCTAAGCACATGAAATTGTCTACAAATTTCTAATAAGACATTCAGTCAATAATATAAAAAGACCTGATAAAATCATCGAGAGTGGTGAATCTCTCTTCGTAAGATTAAAGAATAATGCAGGAAAAGTGCTGGCACAAAAGCAAATTTTAAGCAGCATTTGCCATGACAACAATGAGCGCTTCTTGGTTCAAGTTGCAAACAGAAACACAGAAACCCTCTTGGACAACATTCAACAACATCTGATCGGGGATTTAAGATTCACACAGCCTGCTGTAACAGTTATAAAACAGAAGACTCTGAGGAAGCTCATTTCTTCTACATAGTTATGAATGATAACTACAATTTTCTGGGTCCTGTGGCAAGCATTCATACATAAAAAGTGAGACAGTTGCAGGAATCAGTGAAACAGCAACGCAAAAAGCACAGGAGCATGGAATCACCATAACCTGGAGTTCTACTATCAGGGTTCCTGTCCAGGCATCATATTGGCATTGATAATGTGTTTGATGCATTATTGGTAATTATTGCTGAATTGTGGCCATCAAAAGTGTCTGCTTAAAATAAATTTCAGCCATGTTCCCATATGTTGCTTAATTTAAATAAACTTCTAACAAAACAGTATGAAATAAAGAATACAAATTTATATTCAACTACCTCCATATATATATATATATGTAATAATTAAATTCCATAGTCAAAAATACACTTAAAAGTCTAACTGCATGTTCTTTTTATTTTTAATGGCGACAGTCTCTTATTTGAAAGTACGTGGAATTAAATCCACAGCCCCATAGTCAAGTTGTTTTTCCAGCCTTTTCTACACGTACAGTTATAGAATGTTCTGGAGATATTTAAAGCGAATTGGAATGGCTGACGTCATTTCTTTGAAGCTCCGCCTTTCCAGAGGCTACAAAAGGGCTCGCAAAAGAATATCGGGGTCTTTTTCTTTAATGTAATGATGCAGTAAACTCCATACAAAAAGTTATTAGTACTTTTTATTTACTCCGGAGATATGATTTTTGTAACTACTATTTCTCCTGAATAATAATAAATGGATTCTGTTTTTTTAAACTTATTGTCTGATAATTTGAGCTACGACTACATCTATGATTCTTCACCAATTTATTTATTCTGGACAAAAGCTTATACATCACACACACACATATATATATTAAATAAAATATATATTGTAGAGACACTGAATGAATTCCTGTGTCTAACGTTACCCATTTCTCAACAAGGCTGAAATTCAGCGACTGCACTTTTTTTCTCACCAAGACTCCATCAAACTACATAAAATAAATTCCAGTGAAATTTTATTTATATGAAATAAATATTAAAGCATGGACCATGTTTAGATTGCATTTCTTAGAGAATACATAACAATCTAATGCTATTAATCAAAACAATATAATGTACTTAAGGACATTTAAACAGAAAGGGATACATATGCATCTGCCACTTAAATTTTACAATCAACAGGAAACAAATGAATATCTTACTCGACAATCAGAAAAACTGATGAGCATATACATTGACAAATTCCATGATGACACTAAAGCTCTGGTTCTCACAGTCAGCCATAAATTAAAACAATCTAAAGTTGCTTGAATTTGAAGAATACCTGAAATCAATATTTAGAGAAAAGGAAAATATCAGGGAAAAAATAAAAACTCATAGAGTTAGTTAGAAACTTCTAGCTCAGACTTCAGTGTGATTTAGCACTGGTAAAAGAACACATTTTAAGCAAGAATAAGAAATCAATTAGTGCTTTTACTATCTTTTTCTTGAATCTCAATTCATGATGATGTCTCACAGAGGAATAAGATTTCAATGCCATTAGCAATTATTTTTCAGACGAAAACAGTAAAGCAATGTAGTACACAAATAATATTTCTTTGGGAATAAAAGAATACATACATTATTTTTACACCAGGCTCAAAATTGGTCCTAAAGCATTTCAATCAATTCAAGAATATTAAACAAAAATGCTATTTAGAATCAAACACTTCTGCCTTTATCTTATTATATATATATATATCAGAATCTTTTCTGTTTCTTTATAATAATAGAAATAGCCTTGTTAAACATACAATGAGCACTTTGTGTTAAAAACTTACTTGATAAAACTTAAAGCATCTTACTATGCAAAATAGGTTGCATTACACAAAACAGGAAATTTTACATTTACTATTCAGAACAGTTTTAACTCTTCTATTCCTCACAAGAAAAGCCAGAAACGTGAAGTAATGAACAGAGGCATTTTTCAACACCTTGATTTTCTTCATAACTAGGAGCATTCTCTTTATTACAGAATATTACAATATTATATCCAAATGAGTATTTGAGTGAAAATAAATAATACACCGGATCTCTGTGGATTTTTGTATACATTTCAAACTTAAGTTACAAAAAATTAAGAAAGATATAAAATTTCTTACTCACTAAAAATTTAATTACAAAAGCTAATAATATTTGACGTGAGATTCTTTTATTGCTTTTAATGCATCCTGGTGATATTTGATTTCATGATGGGTAATGGCAAGCATCTGAAGAGTTCCAGAATGAATATACTTCTTCATTAATGGAGGTGTTAATGCAAAAAGAATCAGTGTAATATTCATAAATCTGCAGAACGAGTTTCAAAGGTTTAAATAATAAACTGTTTTCTTCAGCTGTAGAAGAGTAAATGATTAGGGATACCTGTGTGCAGGTGGTAACAATGAGAAGCAGGAAGTTAAAACTACTGGCACCATCTATTGGTAAAAAATGAGAAGTAATTATGAAATAATATTTCTAAAAGCTGAGGGCATCAATAGAATTGGGATCGTTAATTAGAACTGAAAGATTTCTGCAAATGTGAAATTTTGCTAGAAAATCTAATTTGCCAACAGAAGGTATTTTATGAATAATTTTAGCAGCTGAAAAATGGAAAATGTCATTTTCTGACCAAAGTGCTGGGCAACATAGCATTTATACATTTCTTTCTTCTTAACACATCCCTTATGTTCATTAGCATGAGATTTTAAGGCTCTCTTAGTTTGATAAATGAAAACCAAACCACATTGGCAAGGAATTTTGCATACATACTAGGAGTTCATATCCATAATGGGAGCTTTAAGTATGAGAATGGGAATTTTAATGATACAAAAGAAAATGGCGTGAAAGTTGAATTTTTATAAAATATATGCAATTTTCTAGCTAATAGATAGAATAAAAGGCACGATAACAGAGTTCTTATAATCTCTTAAAATGAGAGTGTGCTTTTCGATGTGTTGATATGGGAATTGTTTAACTGCTTGGATAATAATGCTAGGTGAAAAGCCTTTATCCATAGCATCTGCTTTTAAGTAGTTTAGTTCTTTATCAAGTGCTGATTTGGAAGATTATACTCAAAAATGCTTAGAAAACAAAGGAATACAATGAAGGTCACTTCTATTTAGTCAAATTACGTGAAGTGTGGTGGAAGGCAACATATGCAGGTTTACAGTATACAGTAGTACTGAAGTTGAATATGTTGCATGTAACCAAGATGATGCAGAATGGAAGGAAATTCGATGCGTGAAGTTCAAAGGTAAACTAAATAGTAGGATAAATGGAATTCATTATTGGAAGAACTTTATTTAAATCATCTTTATTATCATCAAACAAAGTAAAGATTTTGCGAATGTAGCAGAGCCACATATGGAAGTTTATAATTTCAAATAATTTGGATTCATAATAATGAACATAGATAACAGCAAGCATAGGACTAAGAGGGTCTCCCATGGCTAGTCCCTCAGTCTGATTGTAATACTTGTCTTGAAAAACAAAATGAATTTATTTCAGACCGAACTGAATAAGGGAAATTAACGCATTAATTTTGATACATAAGTAATGAAATTCTCAAAGCCTGGTTTCTAGACATTTTAAAGAAATTTCTAGGAGAAATATTTCTTAATTTATTTATAAACTCTATTGAAATTTTTATGGTGTAAGTGTTATGAACTAATAATGCCAAAAATCTAGAAATTAGATATTTAGCTAAAGGGTAGGATACAGAGCCTAAATTTGATAGAATAGAACAGAATGATATACCACCTTTCTGAATTTTTGTTTGAGCATATAATCTGACACAATTCTCAACAGCTAGGATAAGTAATTTTTTTTCCCAAGCAAGTCAGATGAATTAATGAAGATTTAATTGCAGTTTTCATTTTTGAGATGTCTGGAGAATCTTTAGGGTTCAAATTATATGGGCCTTAGTTTAAGAGTTTAGCAACAAGATCAGTGTAAATATTTTTCTCCCTGACCCACCACTGTTGGCCTTTGAAATGACACCTGAGTTAGAATGAATTTCACACAACTCAGCTTTTTCTCTCTCGTTTAGATTAAGGGTTCAAAGGTTAACTGTTAAATTTCACATTATGAGCAATAAGATACCTAATCATTTTGTTCTGTGCATCTGAAACTTTATGGAATTTGAAAGCTTTTTCAAAAGGAGCTACATTCAGATGGAAAGTTTTGAGGTTTCCAGAGGTTAAATTTATATTCCAGAATTCTCTTTTGTTGTTCTGGCAAACTAACAATAGAAATATTAACTATTAGTTTGGTTAAGACACAATAACATGCCAAACTAATACTAATTCAGAAGTAAAACAACAAAAATCAGCATTATATTTTCAAAATTTTCATAGAACTAGTTTCGATGATTTTAACGAACCACCATCCTCAGCTGCAAAACCGCAAATGAACGAGATAGAATATAATGACTAGATAAGATAAGAAAGCCTGGACATGAATAAGCAAGTGGCGCCATCTGTTGAGGAAACCAGAACTAAAACATAATTTCTCTAAAGGCCGAAAGCAAAGTTGATGATAGGACGTAACTAGAACAAAATATTTTAAGGAAAGCTTAAAACCAGTTCTCCAGGAAGGTTTTAATATTTGCACAAAAAATTAAATGTGATTTTCGACAAAGGTTGACACAAGACTCTGTTTTCTTTTTCTAGCAGCATCCTGCTATTCAATTCACTTTTGAACTTGAGACTTGCAATTCTCTTCTGTTTCTCGACATTCTGGTCACACATAACACATCCAATTTCAGTACTACGGTTTACCGTAAACCTTCATCGGTTTCCCTTCTACCACACTTTAAATCATGTCATCCGACTAAACAAAAGTTAGCTTCATTTTATTCCTATGTTTTCCGTGCTCTTCAAGCTTGCTCCTCCAAACTATCCCTTGATAAAGAACTAAATTATTTAAAAGCAATAGCTATTGACGGGCTTTTCACCCTAACATTATTAATCAAGCAGTTAAAAAATTCTCATCTGAACACACTAAAAGGCACACTCTTGTTTTAGGAGATTATAAAAATTCTGTTGTCATTCCCTTCTTTCCATCAATTAGCTATAAAGTTGCACATATTTTGCAGAAATTTAACTTTTGGGTTGTTTATTCTCCCATCAATAAAATTCCGAGTTCCATACTCCAAGACCCCATTCTGTATATGAATTCCTGGGGTATTTATAGGATTCCTTGCCAGTGTGGTATTACATTGGCCAAACTAAGAGAGCCTTAAAATTTCGCGTCAAGGAACATGAGTCATATGTTAGAAAAAAAAGGAAACACAGAAGTCTTCTGTTGCTCAACATTGTTGGTCCGAAAATCACACTTTCAATTTTTCTGCTGCCAAAATTATTCAAAAAAACATCTTCCATTCGAGAAATGGATTTTCTAGAAGCATTTCACATTAAAAAAAAACCTTTCTGTTCTAGTTAATGATCCTAATTCCAATCCATCTTTGCCTTTGGCCTTTAAAGAAATTATGTTTTAGTTCTGGTTTCATCAACAGATGGCGCCACTTGCTTATTCTTGTCCAGGCTTTCTTATCATATCTAATCATTATTTCCTATCTTGTTCATTTGCGGTTTTGCAGCTGAGGATGGTGGTTCGGCAGAACCATCGAAACTAGTCCTGTGAAAATTTTGAAAATATAACGCTGATTTTTGTTGTTTAACTCAGGCAAGTATGTGTGCACACTAGATTTTAATTCGCTTTTTTCGGACCGAAGGCGCTAGCCGGGTTCTTCATTCTCCTCGTTCGCCCTTTTCATGTTGCTGTTTCGAGGGTAATGCGGTCTCAGATTACTTTTATCCGAATAGGCGATGTTGAAGTAGTTTTGCTATCTAATTTCCTTTTTTATTATAGAAAATCTTTATTCTTTTGCATCTAAATCTTATAATTTTGTATAATTTGTGTGCATAATTACTTTTAATGATAAAATAGAAGCACTGTATGCGTCACATATGCGCAACCATGTATGATATTTTTGTTCTTTTCTTTTCAGTTATGGCGAATAAAAGTAAAATACTCGACATGAATGATCTGAAGGATCTTGAGATTATAAGAAATATGCTTTTATGTGACAGTGATGACGATGAGGACATTATTTTAGATGAAAGCATTACAGATGAAGAAGAGCAAATTTCAGAAAAAGGTGATTCAGAATCGGAGATAAGTGCAGAGGGCAATTCTGAAGAGGGAAATAATGATGGTAATTCTTCCGAAACGTATATAGTTCATAAAACAGAAAAGTCATCGATTCTTGGACATGGCATAAAAAGAAAACTAAACGAGCAC